AACTGCCTGGCTGACATCAGGGACTGGATGGCTTTAAATTTCTTGAGTTTCAATGAAAAGAAGTCTGAAGTCATGTTGTTCCCTCCCAACAACACAATCACAAACCGCTGTATCGACTTCTCCGCTCTAACCCTGTCAGAAAAACAAAGAGTCACTAATCTGGGCGTGATAATGGACCCTTCTCTGAAGCTTAACAATCATGTAAACACGATTGTTAAATCATGCTTCTTCCAACTGAGGTGATTGTCTAAACTGAAGCCCATATTGTCCAAAAAGAACCTGGAGACAGTAATACATGCATTCATTACATCTAGGCTTGATTACTGCAATTCACTCCTCCATTGCACGACTACAACTGGTCCAGAATGCAGCAGCCCGATTTTTAACCAGTACAGGCAAAAGAGAGCACATTACACCAGTTTTGGCCTCACTGCACTGGTTACCTGTTCTCTTTCGAATCCAGTTCAAAATACTCATGTATGTTTACAAATCACTGAACAGTGTCGCCCCCCTCCCCTATCTCTCTGATTTGCTACAACCGTATGTCCCACCACGCTCCCTGAGGTCAGCGGACCAGTTGCTCCTCACAGTTCCAGGAACTCGTCTTAAGAACAGAGGTGACAGGGCCTTCTCTGTAGCAGGACCAAGACTCTGGAACGTGTCAGACAGGCCCCCTCCCTCTCGGTTTTCAAGTCCCGTTTAAAAACTCACTACTATTCAGTAGCTTTCAACACAAGATGATCTGTGTTTTGACCCTGTATGCTCTACACTGTTTTGTCGTCATTATCTGCATCGTTTTTTGTCTATATTCTGATTTACCTCATTATGTATTTTGCTTTGTGTGTTACCTGTTGTTTTGTCTGTACAGCACTTTGGTTGGCCTTGTTGCTGTTTTAAGTGCTTTTTAAATAAATTGGTATGGTATGGTACTCCTCTCTAAAACCATCGTTCCTCTCTATCCAGGATGTAAACATCTTCATCCCTGAAAGAGTGACCTCTGACCTGGAGATGAGTGTAGACCGCAGAGTCCTAGCCTGATGATGTTGATCTTCTGTGCTGGTCCATCTTTTTGGTCAAAGTCAGTTACTTACTGTTTGGAATCTCAGATACAATAGAAGTCAATAACAGTTTGGGTGTGTGACCTCTGAGAAGACACAGCCAGTCCTGCATCTGAGACACTGGTTGGACAGAGACATAAATTCTTACAGGTGGACAGATAAACTGTAGCAGACTAGAAGAGGAATATTTGGTTGGAGAACTGTAGAAGAAGAAATACATAACTAAGATTCCAGGACAAACTGTTTTTTTCTTAAATAATCTTTCTCTTTTTTTTCTCTGCAGTTTGTTTTTTGGAAACCTCTACATTTACTGTGCATGGCACGGACATGTGCACATCACTGGTACGACTCCAGCTTGTGTGGACAAGATTCTGCTTCTTGCTGCCGACTCACTCAGTTCTTTTTTCTAAAATTCTGACTCCTGTTGGGTTTCTATCTCAGACAAAGACCGCCGCACGGTGTTTATCTCGCTCACGGTGATCACTTTAGTCGGCTGCTTCCTCTTCTTCCTGATCCGGAAGCCTGAGCCAGAACCTGCGTCTGGTTCTGAGGTGACGGAGTCGTTGCTGCAGACAGAATCTACAGAAGACTCCAGGTCGAGGTGAGTCCTGAACAACACTTCTGAGGAAAGATGAAGCTCAGATTCTTTATGCTCACCCACTGCCATGACAGGTGGGCAATGAGAGAACAGTCTGTTGGCAAAATATCTCATGAAGCATTGGATGCTTAAATGGACCTCTCAGAAAGTATTCACTTAATTGACATCACAGTATGTGAACTCAACTGGATTCAAGATGGTCGCCACAGCTAATGGATGTAAGTGTACCTCAGTCAGGTTTAAAAGTGCAGTGTGGTAGTAGCTGAGAGTTCTTCTAACAGATGGTGTGAGATCTCTAACAAAACAACTTAAAACTTGCTTTAAAACTTTTAAAATGTCACTAAAACTTAACTGTGAATGTTATATACCTGGATGACTGAGAAAACAAACTTTGTGTTTTGAAAGGGTGTTTGTGTAAAGTTAATAATCAGTATCTTACCTGCTGTGGACCTCTCTGACAGATCTCATTTTGATCTGAATGATTACTGGCCAGTAGCCCTCACCCCGATAGTCGCTAAATGCTTTGAAAGACTGGTAATGACCCACATCAGAACAACCATCAACATCAACGAGGACCCTCACCAGTACACATACCGCGAGAATCGATGTACAGAAGATGTCACCTCCTCTGTGATCCACACTGCTCTCATCCACCTGGAGCAGAAGTACTCTTACATTTGTATGGTCTTTGTGGACTTCACATCTGCCTTCAACACCATGATCCCCCAAACCCTGTTGGACAAACTACTCACATTAGGACTAAGATCGGAAAGTCACAGGTTCAACTCCTGGTACTGTCAACATCAGTATATGGGTGGAAAAGGTGAAACACCCACACCTGCCTCCACCCTCATTTTCCCCACTCTGGGTCCCCACCATCTGCTTCCTAAACAGGTCTCTCTTGAAAATAAGTTCTCGTGACTCAGTGAGACTACCTAGATAAATAAAGGGTAAATGGGGAAAAAAAGCCCCTCCATTTTGGACTTCTTAACAAACAGGCCTCAGTCTGTGAGGATCCACAACTTCTCCTTCTCCACCATAACCCTCAGCACTGGCTCTCCTCGGGGCTGTGTGTTCAACCCTCTCCTGTTCACTCTGCTCATGTATGATTGTGCAGCTACCCATCCAGGCTGTCATATTGTAAAGTTTGCAGATGATACAGTGGTGGTGGGATGCATCACAAACAATGATGAGTCCAGCTACAGGCAAGAGGTGGAACACCTGGAGAGCTGGTGCAGGAAGAACAACCTTCACATCAATGTGAAGAAGACAAAGGAGATGATTGTGGACTTCAGAAGGAACAAACACACCTACAACCCCCAAACATAAGAGGATCTGTGGTGGAAGTGGTCTCCAGCTACAAGTACTTGGGTGAACACATGAATGATAACCTCAGCTGGAGCAACAACACCACCAGCCTGATGAAGAAAGGTCATCAGAGACTCTACTTCCTCAGACGGCTGAGACGAGCTGGTCTGGAAGCTCAGTCCTCACCTCCTTCTACAGGTGTGCAGTGGAGAGCATCCTGTGCTCCAGCATCAATGTGTGGCATGGAGGCTGCACAGCTGCAGAAAGAAAAGCTTTGCAGAGAGTGGTGAAGGCTGCACAGAAATGATGGAGTCAGTCTCCCCACTATAACAGACATCTACACCTCCAGATGCAGGAAGAGGGCCACCTGCATCATGAAGGACCACAATCACCCAGCACACACTTTTTGTCCCGCTCCCCTCAGGAAGGAGGTTGAGGAGCATTAAGTGTAGAACCACTAGACTGAGGAACAGCTTTTACCCTGAGGCTGTTAGACTCATGAATCTCTAACCAGAATAATCACTGTGAAAAATCACATCATGTTGCTGCTGATCTGTTTCATGTTGCTGCTGATCTGTTTTATGTTGTTGTGTTCATTCATGCTCATCTGCTCACACAGACTCACGTTCATGCTGCTGTTGAACGTACTGTTTTTATTCTACTAGTGCTTAGTGTGTTTTTAGTTAACATTTTTCTTAGTTCATATCCTAGATCTTATTACTGTTTTTCTTTTACATTTTAATAGTTTTGTTGGATATAACTCGGACCCTCTGTACACAATTTCGTTCCACCACATGTACACGTGTTGTGAATGACAAATAAAGAATCTTGAATCTTTGAATCTTGAATCCTTGAATTTGGAAGAAATATGGTTGACTTCTAAACCAACTGGTCGGAGCTGCAATAACAGCTGAGTGGATGGTATGACCAGTGTTTTTTAATGTTTCACATCTCACCAATATTTGACCAGAACTCTGTGGTTATTCACAACTACATAAAAAGTAGTAGAAGCAAGCTGTAGCTCTTCCTGAGAAGGAAGGTACCATACATCTCAGGTTTTAAGACGTACCCGTCTCTAAACCGCACTTATTAAATATAAGATAAATCATAATTTTGTACATAAATAATATGCTCCGGTTATTTGGCCGCAGGCATCCACCATTCATTGTCAGGAACTGTGCTGTGCCCCCAGTCTGCTCTGGCTGTGTTCACCTTTCTTGCTGTAGTACAAGAATCAGCCACCAGATGGCGTTTCACAGAATATAGCTTGCTTTCAACAGTCAACACAAACTCAGGCTGCAAGATTGTCACGAGTTTTTATGAAGCTTCGCTTTCTGACTCATGGTTACAGCCATTATACCTTCAAAATGAACACAATAGCTATCTAAGCATAATCACTGGACAGAACAGTGCCAAACACCTACGTAACTGAAATTATTTAAAAATTATTTACTGGTAAATATTACCAAGAAGTCTTATTGAGGTCATGTGACCGGAAGTCAAATAGTACCAGTAGAATGCAGTACATAGTC